CAATAAAAGATGTAAGGAAATTATCACCTATTCACCTGAACAAAATCAGGCACGTGACTTGTGTGATATGAGCAAAGGTATCTCTTACATATGAGTACTGTATTGACAAACTGACCGAGATAGGGCTTTAACTGAATATTCTAGAAGTTCTCACCTAAAAACTACTAGATATCAACAGAAATAAGCAAATCTAGTATCACATCTCCTATACAGTGTCACACTGCCCCCTCATGTATAAACAGAATAAGAAATGATTTACATTGCCATGGATAAGTATTTGCTACTGAAAACCTAATCTACTCTAACCTGCTCATACCATCTTTCCAGGGAATCTGGGGTCCAACATTGCACTGGGGCAAGCAGCAAACTACTGACCTGCCTTGAAATTCCTCTGCTGCCTAGACTGTTGTCCACAGCTGATTTACTGCCACTGCCACTGTTCAAACTACAGGTTATAGCGTGGTGGCGACAGGACAGCAGTTAGGCTGGAAACAACATAAGAACGACGACAGAAAGGAGAAGACAAGACACATAATTCCCTCAGAGAAAATGACGCCACAAACAAGCTTTGGAACAGCTCCCAGACTTATCTATACTTGATTTTTATGCTGCTGTGATGTTACCAGAATAAGGAACCAAATAACACACCGTGCCAGGACATCCAGAGCACCAACAAGCAATGGAAAAGTAAAATACTAAGAACTGGTATCATGTGGACGATAACCTTCCAAGCAGGCCTTTCTGGAGGATCATGGTGACTGGAGCAGGGCAAATGCTGAAAACTGTTGCATCTTCCTCTTCCTTACTTTGGGGTGGGGTGTCTGGAGAAGGAGGTGTGGAGGCTTCCTCAGACTGTAAAGCCAGGCCACCAAGCAACATAAAATGTAGGTCTGTGACTATACCATTCTCTGGAGGCTGGAGTAAGCCCTTCCCAGTGCCTTAGTCCAAATCCCCGAGCAAAGACCAAATGGTGGCTGGTCTCCAAAAGACTTCAGGCACTGTTTAGTTTGCACCAGAATATCTGGCTTCAAGTTGTTTTGTTTTGTTTTCTTTGGTTTACATTTTCAAGATCTCAGGTCATTCTTTTGTGTAGCCAAAGCAAAGAAACGCTGACTTGGAAAGTCATTCCATGGTTGTCTTGGACGGACAAAACTTAAATACCAGAAAAAAATATTTCAGAAAAACTGGCATGAGATGTGCATAATTAATCCCTTGGACCACACCAAATCCCATTTCTGCATACAATAGTTAGAATATTCTAGCTACCAACCACTGCCTTAATAAGCTCTATGGGGGACTGGCATCTCAGAGAGCTGAATCACCCTCCACATCAGGACAGGTGTGGAGCCCAGAGAGTCAGTGGAGACACACCATCCTGGCTATGCAACCTCACCAGCTGTGGAAGCTGAAAGCTACCTGTTCACACAGTACACCTCATTTCCTACATGCATGAAGACCACCACACTCACATCTCAAGACCTCCTGATAGGGACTAAATGAGATGATTTATACATTAGTCAGGACAGCACCTGGCTCACAGTACCGAGAATAAATGATACAGAGACCTGGATTTGTGACATGATGCATATCATGGCTGGCTTCAGCCATTGACATGACACACCAGGGAAGAGGGAACTTCAACTGAGGAATTTCTCTATCAGATTGGCCTGTGGGTCTACTTGTGAGACATGTTCTTGATTACTGAGTAATGTGGAAGGGTCCAGACCACTGTGGGTGGTGCCATCCCTAGGCAGGTGGTCTTGGGTTGTATAAGAAAGCAGGCTGATTACAGGCCAGAGGAGCAAGTCCATAAGCAGCATTCCTCCATGGTCTCTGCTCCAGTTCCTGCTTCCAGATTCCTGCCTTGAGATACCACCCTGCTTCTCTCCAAGATGAACTGTGATTGGGATATGTAAGCCAAGCAAACGGTTTCCTCCTCAAGTTGGTTTTGGTCAGTGTTTTATCACAGCAACAGAAACAAAACTAGAACAGAATTGGTTCCAGAAACATGGGATATGGCTGTGACTGACCTGATCACGTTGTTTTGGGGAGGACTGTGGAAGCATTTAGAGCTGGAAAAGCTATTGAATGCTCAAAGCTAAATGAGCTGTTCTGTGGAAGCTTGGAAGATAAGAAATGTTTAAAGAAATGCACATGATGGAGCCTGGCTTATGAAGTTCCATACGGAAGTTTGAGAGTCCCTTAAAGACTATATCCAGGCCATTTGTGTGATGTTTTGAACTCAGAATCTGTGACTTCTGGTCAGTTAGAGCTGAAGAATCAGCTGTGATTGAAAAGAGACCAATACTCACTGAGGTGAAACCTTTGCTTTACTGGGACAGTTGATACTGGATAGCAGGGACTTTTAAAACAAAAACAAAAACAAAATCCCAGCTGTAGTTAATACGAGACCAGCATCATTGAAGTAAACTCTCCCAGGAAGTAATTCCTCAGGGTCAGGACACAGAAGCTATGGTCCAGAGGGGGCCAAGACTGCATCTAAAGCTGGAAGTCAAATTTGTTAATATCCAACAAGAGTCTCCCATGTGGTATCGGTTTTGGGAGAACTACAGGAGTCATAGAGAAAAGCTGAGGCTTTACACTGTGAGAGGTCAGGCGAGGCCACTGGTGAAAGTGCAGTCTCAGCTGCAGTGAAGACCTCCAGGAATGAAGGGGTCATGGAGAAAATCTAAGGCTTGGCACAACGTCAGACCAGGAGAGACCACTGTTGAAGGTACAGCCTCAGTTGTAATGGTGACCCCAAGATATTGGAGATTCCAGGACCATGGATGACCACTACAGGCAGCAGCAATTGTGGAGTGGGGCAACTTGAGCCCAAGAGACAAGCTATGTGTGTGATGTGAATGGCAGAGCCCGAGAGGTGGGGCAACCCAAGGCCTTCAGAATCCAGATCATGAGTGAATCCCAGATATCAGACACTGAGTTATTTACACTGTTCAATTTTACACAATTCTGATTTGATGTGACTGTGCCCTGGTTCTTCCTTTTGGAATAAAGAAAGTATTTAACTTTTTTTTTTTAATTTTAAAGGAGCTCACAGTTAAGAGGCTTATTTTATGTGTATGTGTGTATTGCCTGCATGTAGGTAAGTGCACCTGCATTGTACAACGCCCAAGGAAGACAGAAGAGGCTGTCAGATCCCCTGGGACTGGAGTTATGGACAGTTGTTAGCTGCCATGTGGGTGCTGGAATTTGAACCTGGGTCTTCTGTAAGAACAATCAGTCTTCTTAATCACTGAGCAATCTTGCCAGCCCCAACAGTGGACTTTTAAAGTGTTTGAAAATTTAAAGACTGTGGGACTTTCAAAGTTGTGCATTATTTTATATTGTGATATTAATGTGGGATCTTGGGGACAAAGAAAGGAAAGGTTACAGCTTAAAGTGATGTGTTTGTATGTCAAGGTTGACAAGGGATGGAATGTTAAGATTGGCTTCAGTTGTCAACCTGACACAACTAGGAAGAAGGGACCTCAAACGAGGAATTTTCTCTACCAGATTGGTCCATGGCATGACTTTGAAGGCATTTTCTTGACTGTTGAGTAATACAGGATGGCCCAGTACACTGTAAGTGGTGCCACCCCAGTGCAAGAGGTCCTGGGTTGTGTAAGAAAGCAAGTTGAGCAAAGGTCAGAAGAGCAAGTCAGTAAACAGTGTTCCTCCATGTTCTGTGCTTCAGTTCCTGCCTCCAGGTTTCTGCCCTGACATCTGTCAAAGAACTGTGATTGGAACATCTAAGTCAAATATACCCTTTCACCCCTAAGTTGGTTTTGGTCAGAGTGTTTTATCATAATAACAAAACTAAACTATAACAATGCCTATAGTAAACAATAACAAAAGTGATTCAAATCCTTATTATTCCTCTCAAACACTGTTTTCACAGGATGTCAATCTTTTTTATTATTTTACTTATTGTTTTTATGTTATGTGTATGACTGTATTGTCTGCATATGTGTCATGCAATGCCCACAGAATCAGAAGAGGGCATTGGATTCCCCTGGAACTGGAGTTACAGATGGTTGTTAGTAGCCATGTGGGTGCTGGGGTCCTCTGCAAGACCAGTCAGTG